CTGCAAGAGCTGCCAGTGCTTTTGACTGCTGAGCCATCCCTTCCATCCCCCTAATGGAATCTTTTATAAAATAAGTTTAAAATAGAAAAGGCATTAAAAACATGTATGTGTCACACTTTCCTGTGAGGATCTTTTTCTGTAATTCCTAAGAACCTAGCTTCTCCCAAACATTTCAGGTACCACAGGTGTATGTTTACTTTGAGGAGGTGACAGGAAACAAACATGAAAACCAATCCATTAAAAATAGTAAGGGTGCTAACTTTACCTGGACTAACAGGAAGAGATGAAAAGCACTTTCTAACCTTTATGTACATTAGGCTGTGCTTGGTGAGTAGAGTAGAATCTCACAAAACCTATGACAATGGCATTAAAAACTGACCAGTGGTAATACCAAACGGTGTAACTCCTTCTGTTGGCATGATAGAAATATGGTATATCAGCTAATTTTTACTGGCTACTTCCTGCACTATCAGAAGCATTGTGCTAAATACTTGATGCATTACCTCATCTCATCTTCCCTGTGAGGTACAGGATAAAGCCACCTTACAAATGAGAAATTTGGACTTCCAGAAGATTGAGAAATCTGTATGGCTAGTGCATTTTGGGAAGAATAAATTTTGATAGCTTGTGAATTTATAACTGATAGTTTTGTAAATTTTTTAAATTGCTACCATTTTACCTTGGTGGGAGAATCAGCACCACCCCCAGAGCTTTGTTTGCTAGGTGTGTTCTGCCGGTGAGCTGTGTCCTGAACCCCAGCTCTTCCCTTACTACTGTTTAAAAGCTTGTGCTTGGTTTAAAAATGCCATATTTTGTCCTTTTTCCCCACTTCTAAGATGGGGAAAAACTGTTGCTAAGTTTCTTGTATATGATTCCACAAAATCCCAATGGTTATATAAACAATGTGTATGTTTTTGTATATGTTTCCTTAATGATAATGCTTTCTCTAGTTAAGTGAAATATAATTTTTATAGTGAAATTTAATGGATATACTCCTAACAAATTAAAACAAAATTAATTTCTTACGCTGCTGACATTAGCCACTTTGCCTTCTTTCTTACTCCTGGCTTACTTTACAATCTATAGGTGGGTGGCCCTTTTTCTTATAAAACATTTTGTTGATAGGGTTAGTGTGTTAAGACAGTCTCACTCTTGCCAAGGTCAATGTTGAACTTGATGCCATCCATCCTCCTGAGTTACTGGGAGTGCAGGCTTCATACATAACTCTGCTTATTATTTGTTTTTGTTTGTTTGTTTGTTTGTTTTGTGTGTGTATGGGTTTTTTTTTTTTCGGTTTTTACAAGACAGGGTTTCTCTGTATTGTTTTGGAGGCTGTCGGTCCAGCCTGGCCTCGAACTCTTATTATTTGTTTTATTCTTTCTAAAGTTCAATAGTTCTGAGAATGCTGGGGTCTTAATTTCATTCATTATTTTGGCTGCCCATTTAGTTTTCCCAAGGATTGTATGTTGGCCATTTGATAGTTCATAATGTTCATAGTTTCTTTATCTGAAGCAAATGGTCACTAAAGAAAATTATTACTGCCTTAACAATTAAATAATCTTTTTCTTAAAGATATGCCAAACTTGGAAGTATACCTGAAATTTAAGAACTAAGACCTCTCGGCAGAATTTGATTTGGTTTCCTAAGTTAAGGAAGTTACTGAACCATGTTGCTGTGCTTGCCTCTTACCAGAAATATTTCATATCATTCACTTTGTTTGAACTGATAAAGTTTATGACAGTGAAAAGTTTGTGTGCTGCTTAGGATTCAGAAACACTTGTTTGCCCCATCAGATTTCAAAACACACATTGCTAAGATTACATTTTTCTGTCTGAATCTCTTAGGCCTTTTTCAGCCACCAGCTGTAATTGTCATAACAAAATGGAATACATGAATATTTGAAGTAATTTATTTTCCAGTAACCAGCTAAAAAGAAATATGTAGTTAGTAACCAAATTTGATGTCATTTATGTAACAATCTTTCTGTTTGCAAGATTAGTACATGAGACTTTTTAGGTTCTTTGTGGAACACAGAACTCATTTTATGTAAGTAATATGATAATCATTTACATTTTAATTAAATCTCCTGTTTTGCTTTAAGGTATATGCACCATCCCCAAATTCTGATGATTTCAACCGTGAATCTCCTAGTTATCCATCTCCCAAGCCACCAACCAGTATGTTTGCTAGCACTTTCTTTATGCAAGGTAAGCACTACCAGCAGTTGTGAGAGTCAGCTGGAGCTGCAGTGTGCTGGTATTAAATACGAGAAAAAAGATAGCTGTACAGAAATTCTTACTGTACTTTTCTAAGAATTTTTTTCTCTGAAATCAGTTAAAATTTAGCCATACAATATTCTAGGGGCATTTGTTACAAATTGTAGTTTCATTAAATTATCCAACAAACCTTTAAAATTATCATCTACTATAAACAGAAAAATGAGCAAAGCTGCCATGGTTTGTTGTAGAATGTTGAAATATGAAAGATAGAAAGAAACAGTAGTGGTTTACGGTTTGGATTATAGTTCCATAAAGAGTAAATACAAAAAACTAAATGAGACGTGTTAGAGAGAAGATGTGTAGCATTTCTTCTAATTTGTATCTGACAAATCATTTTTATTTGGTTCCCTGTGGTTTGGTATTGTGATAAGTGTGTATGTAGGAGCTGTACATCATTACATAAATGGTTCCTTGACTGTGCCATAGATAAAGTCACTGCTGACATCTAATTTTAAGCCTCACTATATAATGTCACTTTTTACCTTGACTTACTGTGAAAGAAATTTCTCCATTCCTTCTTTTCAGAATATCTGATATATGTGTGTTGCCTATTTTGGGTTAAGGCCTTTAGTAGAACATTTAGCCGAAAATTAAATCTAATTTGCCCCCAGATTTCAAATACCAGATTTCTTGGTATGAAATGAATATTTTTTGAAGATCATTAAAATAATCCACCTATTACATAATATGTGCTGGGTGTTTTTTTTTAACTATAAAAGTTACTTCTTTTTATATAATAATTTTGGGCCTGGGGGGAAGAAACCCTGATAGAATATTACGTTTGTTTCTGATGCTGTGATAAAGTACCCTGACAAAAGCAACTTGGAGAAGGGTGACAATCCATCACAGCAGGTGAGTTACTGGAGTGGGAATTTACACAGCAAACACATCAGAGTAAGAGCAGAAAGAAGTGAATACATGTGCACTCACTTGGTCAGCTCACTTTTTTTTTTTACGATTAAATAGTTCAGGACACAGACAACAAAATGGTACCTTTCACGTTCCATTAACCTGGTTAAGAAAACTCTTCACAGATGTGCCCTCAGTCTTCTGATCTAGGCAGTCCCTCACTGAATTACTTTTCCTGGATGATTCTAGATCATCTGCAACTGAACTGAACAGTTGAAATCAATCATCATTATATCCTTTGGATAGTTTTAGATATACTCAAAAAATTCTGGCTAACGAAAACTTTGTATTTATTTTTCTTTTAGATGGGACTCACAGTTCTTCTGACCTTTGGAGTTCATCAAATGGGATGAACCAGCCTGGTTTTAGTGGAATTCTGGGGACCTCAACTTCCCACATGTCTCAGTCAAGTAGTTATGGCAGCCTTCATTCACATGACCACTTGGTAGGCTATCAAACAATATTTTGTCCTACATCTTTCTTTTTGTATAAAAATCAATTATGCCAAAACTTCTGAACTTTGAAGTGTTTACAGGCTTACTTTACCATGACTTTTTTCAGTGTGACTGCCCTGCCAAACTTGTTATATGTCATGCTCATTTTAACCTTTTTTATACAGATTGTCCAGGATAAGTCTACATTCATATTCAGAAAATACATGCTTTAATTTTTTATTTATTATCTGTGTGTGAGAGAGAAGAGGGTGGGAGGGGTGGGGTTGGAGAAAGAAGAGAGAGCAGCACATAACTAAGGACTGAAACTTCAAGTGTGGGAGGTAAGTGCTCTGCCCCCAAGCAATGTCCCCAGCCCTCAGAAAACATAATAGGTCGTGTCTCCTTCCCTTCTAGAGTTATCCTCCACACTCAGTGTCACCTACAGACATAAGCACGAGTCTTCCACCAATGTCCAGCTTCCACCGTGGCAGCACCAGCAGCTCACCGTATGTTGCCGCCTCCCATACTCCTCCCATCAATGGATCAGATAGCATTCTAGGTGAGCTTCTGGGTTGAGAAACTTTCTAATCCTAATTTGAGAGTTTTGTTGAAACCCATATTGTTCAATAAAGTTTGTAGTATTTAGTTTAAATAAAAATGAAAGAAGATAATTAACCTTTAAGTTTCATTAATACAAAACCAATACATAACTCATCTTTATTTTATAGCTTATTAAATTGCACATAGATTGTTTCCTGATTCAAAATGATAGATGAGGTCTCAATCCAGGGTACCCTTGAAGTAATAGGTACATGATTAAGAAAAAAAAAAGTAGCATTCCTGCTAGTCTTGTTTTGTTTACCTGTTTGAACCATCCAGGAGCCAGAGGGAATGCTGCTGGAAGCTCACAGACGGGTGATGCACTTGGAAAGGCTTTGGCATCTGTAAGTATTGGGGACACATTCTACTGATGAACTAGGGTTTATATTTTGTGAACAGTAAATGGCATAGTTACATTGTTAACATAATTACTCATTTAAGAGCTGTTTTCTGTTTATATTGTTACATACCATTAAAGTAGTTCATGATAACACCTCCCTGCTCCATACCTACAAGAACTGTATTTGTGGTTTCATTTAAGTATGTCTTTATTTGAGTGGAACAGATATAGATAAAACAAAGAGGAATTTGGGGAAATATATGTGTTTTAAACACTCAAGTGACCCATTTAAATAATCAAGAGGAGTCAAGAAAGAAAATCCAGTTCATCTAATATGAAGGAAGTACCTTTATAAGGGTTTTCACAAGATGGAATAGACTTTTATTTATGTATTAGGAAAAAACAATCAGCTGGGTAGTGGTGGCACAAGCCTTTAACCCCAGCACTCGGGAAGCAGAGACAGGCAGTTCTCTGAGTTCTTGGCCAACCTGGTCTACACAGTAAGTTCCAGGACAGGCTCCAAAGGGATAAGGCTCAGAATCATTGAAAGACTAGTTCTGAAATAAATGAAACTGATTCAAAGACATTTTATAATATGATATAGCTAGTGTTTGTCACATCAAAATGATAGAGGCAATGATAACCGTTTAATATATCTGGCTTGTACATTGTTAAAATTAGTTTGGAAGCCTAAAGCTAGAAAGGAGAGATGGGTATTTATTAATTATCTGTAAAGACTCAACTCTAATTATTCAAATTCAAATTATGCCTTCTGCCTTGTGAAGTTTCTCCTTAGACTTGTATATTTTTTTTCTCCTCCTTTAGTTTGAGCAGTCGGCTTGTTAGAATTCCAGAGTTGTCTTATATTTTGTCTGAAATACACTTAACTTTCTCAAACATTTGCTGTTGATAGGGAAAGTAGAACTCTGATACGTGAGCAGCTGTTGAGCTCCTGAAGAAAGAAACTTCTTTATGTATTGTTTGAGTAAATAAACCTTTCTCTATAGCTGTAAGTATGAGTTTTGTTTGAGAAATGAAGCCAAGTCAAACTTATCTACCATATACTGGAACCCTGCACATAGTGGAGCCCAGTAAATGTTTGCTGGATTTAATCTTGGAACATACGTAATAATGGTGGTGGTACAAACCCACAGAAATGATCAACCGTGGGCTGAGTGCTTGGCACTACACTAAGCATTTCCATGCCCTATTTCATTTAATCCTCAAGAAAACGCTTTAAGGTTGGCATTATTACCCTCACATTACAGGTTGGGGAACTGAGGTTTAAAGGTTAAGTGACTTGGACTCAAAAGATTAAGTAGTTTGTTCTAGAGACCACTAGCTAGTAAGGGTAGAGCTCATATACAATAGAACCCCCACCTAACTAGCCTCAAACTGTTCCTCTCTGCTGCTTTGGGTATCAAAAAAGCTGTGTTGCAAGGACTGTCTTAGAGGTAGGTATTAGGATGGTTAAAGAAAGTTGTCCCTACTTTTTTCTGAATTTATTCCCTGAAGAAAAAACTTGGTGTATAGGGAGAAAATTGGTCTTGGCAATGATTGGCATGCTATGTTCCTCCTCATTGTTGGAAGAATCAGTAACAGATAGGTCATTCACATATAAGAAGACAAGTAACATTTGACTCTTAATATTAAGCAAAATTTCAAAATAAAACCTCCATTCAGGAGTCATTTTTTTTCTCACAGGTTTTTGTTTTGTTTTTTCAAGGAAAGTGTAAGTGAGGAAATCATTGTATGGGCAGACAAGACTTTGTGATATTCTCAGAGGTCCTTCAAGCTTACTTTAGTTACCCTGACATCCTTGATTTTCCTTCCATATTATGAACAGCATATTAGCCAGACCAGGATGGCATTTGGAGAGAAAAATCCAAATTCACTCTGAGTGGAAGCCAGGAAGAAATGTTTAATCTAGCTAGTGGGTGGGCTTTGGTTGTCATGGAAACTCAGCTCTGTCATCCTGTGTTGTTACTAGGCAAGAACAACCAGGTCATTCAATAAATCATTTCTGTCATAGCTAAGAGTGATGCATTCCATCTGCTCCATCACTGCAGACCCTCATGTGCACACTTCCTATTCCTTCCTTCAGTCTCCCTCTATCTCCCCAAACAACATTGTTTCTCCAATTTTCCTTATAAACTCCCATTCTCATAAATAATGTTTAGTGTTTAAAATGTACTAAAAAGAAAAAACAGTAGTTTGTGTGGTGATAGGAAGAATTAGAAAAGATGAAAGGAAGAAACTTAGTGAGGATTACATCTGAGAACCTGACATGCATATCATAATTTTATATTAGGTATTATAGATTGTAAGAATGTGGTATCTTTAATATAATATAGCATCTACTTTTGATGAGAAAACACTGCTGTTGTCATTAGAAGTTAATTCTAGTTCCCCAATTGCCTTAGAAGGTCTTTCATGTGTGAAACACCAGAGGGTACAACCTTTGTTCTTCAGTTTAGGTATTAAAGAACACACAGAATACTGCGTGATTAAACATGTAAGGCCAGATAATGCGTTTGCAAAGGTTCCTTTATTTTAGGTTTAAGCCCGGATAATTGTGGTCTTAATCTCAGGATAGCAAGAAAGAGAATTGTACATGAAGGTATTTACACAAAGTCCCCAAAGCCCTATGGATTGCTCACTGGTTTAGATAATAGACATGGGTAGATAGAAGGAAAGGAAAAATCTGTGTGTCCCTGAACGTTTGCCAGACAATCACCCTTTAAGACTGTGCCCATGGAGAGTTATATGGAGGAAGAAACATCTGGTTTATTTCAGTGCCTAATACCATATCAAAACATTCAGTCTTTAATTTAGAAGAGATCAAACGAGAGGACTGTTTAACTTTGTTGATTATATCAGACTTCTTTGTGATAATTTATGTTTTGATTTCTATGAGCCAGGGAGGGAAGCAGAGAGGGAGAATGTGTGTGTTAATCTAGATAGTTAAATGGTCAGTAGTCTTTAACAAAAGAAAAGAAAATCCAGGGAAGTTGACATTTAAAAGTAATTCATGAAATAAGTTTCTTTGTTCCTTAGACTCAATAACATTAGCATAATAAAGATTAACTGAAATGTGCAAAAGCTTCAGTGTTTAAAACCTTAGTCTCTCAGTTACTGGGTTGGGCCTGGAGCTCTCCATTGTTTCTTTTTGTCTAAGGCTCTTTTCATTAGCTTCTGGCTTTATTGGCACCCTACTGATTGGAATGGAGCATGACTGATAGGAGGAGGAGCCTCATTTGTTGCAGTAAAATGAGGAATATTACCGTTTAAGCCTGGCAGAAGGTACTGGGAGTTATTCATCATTGGCCATTTAACCGTGGGTGCCTGTGGGTTGCATGTACAATGAGTTCTGACTTTGTTTCTGCTCTAGACTCTTTAAGTCATTGCCACCTCCATTTTTAAAGTGACTTTTTTTTTCTTTAAACACCAAAATTAGAGTTCTTTAAAGCCAGAAAATAGAAAAAGAAATCTTCATTTAGAATGTTCTTTGCCAAAAAAAAATCCTGGTGTTTAGGATTTCTAAAAGAGTCACGGTTTCTCTGAAGTAATGTAACTCAGTTGTGATTTGATGATAGAATGTGCCTGCAGAGATAGAGGCTGGTGAAGTGACCTGCCATCTGAAAGGCTTCAGTGTACCAGTAGTACTGTGCTAGTCTTCCTCCATATTTGAGTGTTCTCTTTATGAGAGCTAAACAGCTGGGTTTTTTTGTTTTGTTCTGGGTGGGGGTAGGAAGCACAAACATACCATGATGCAAATGTGGAGTTCAGAGGACAATTTCCAGTTTTATGTTCACTGGTGTTTACCTACATATGTCTGTGTGAAGGTATTCGATCTTCTGGAACTAGACTTACAGATAGTTTGTAATGTGGTTGCTGAGAACTGAAACCAGGTTCTCTGGAAAAGCAGCCAGTGCTCTTAACCTCTGAACCATCTCTCCCAACTCCCACACCCCCTTTTTTCAAGTGTAGATCAAGAATGAATTGCAATTCTGTCTGGTATCACAGCAAACCACAAGAGTATTGGGTAAATGGTAAAAATGGCTGCTATTATACAAAGTGGAAAAGCAAATTTTGGGAAAGATACATTTTAGTATAGCTTCTCCTATTTACACCATGATTCTCAAAAGCTCACTCCTGTTTTGAGCATAGGATCAGAACATTCTCCTGTCACTCAAAATAGTGATCATATGACTCTGAAGTATAACCCCTGTTTTCTTTGACTTAAAAGAACTCTCACCAGCATTTGATGTACTTAGGGATTACTTTACTGACAGGTCAGAACTGAAAGAATTGGCAGACCATTCTTTACAGCCTTGAAAGTCTGTGCCTACCTAAGTGTGAGATACATGTAGCCTAGAACATCACCATGTAATTGTTCTCAAAGTTTATGCCATGCTTTAGATTTGGAGTGAAGTCATCTATAACAAGCTCTTTCACTTTCTTACTTCTGTTACTGATCCCCATTGCCCAAATACTAAGATACACTCCACCTTTTGAAGAATCTTCCCACTGACAAGTATTATAGCAAATTTTATCATTCATTATAAATCCCAACACTGGAGCCAGGAGGTGGTGGCACACTTCTTTGATCCCAGCACTTGGGAAGCAGAGGCCAGCCTGGTCTACAGAGCCAGGCCTGGGACAGCCAAGGCTGTTAAAATAGAGAAACCCTGTCATGGAAACAAGTCTCAACACTGAGATTATAGACAAATGGATCCCCAGGGCTTGGCCAGCCAGAGGTCCAGGCCAATGAGAGATCCTGTCTCAAAAGATAAGGTGGAGAACTCCTGAGGAACAACATTTGAAGTTGTCCTGTGGCCTCCACACACGTGTATGTATAGATTTAAAGTGGTACCTTTCCCAGAAACTGAGAATTGTGAATGTTGGTGTCAACAAAGGGAAGAGCCAGGCCAAAGAAAGGGGGGAACACAAACCAAAATAGAGAAACAGAAGCGAAAAGGTGTGGGGAGGATAGGAAGCAGAGTAGTGATTCCAGGTTCAGAGGTTCCTATTCAGTCTGTCCAGGCAAGAGATACCAGTTCAGGAGTCATTCACCAGGATGTAAACATGGCACAAAGAATGTCATTACCACATGACTGGAGAAAAAAAGAGTATTTAGGACCTCAGGGAAACCTTTAAAGGATGGAGAGTAAAAGAGATGGAACATAGATAAACCTGAAGCCCAAAAGTCACTCCAGTGAGAATTCCTAGCATAGGCACTACCATTTCTACCATCCCGCATTGAGAGTAGGAAACAGATAATGGATACCTCAGGATACACTGTAAGCACCAGCAGAGAACAAGGAGCTGCCAGCTGCTACAGAGGATGCTATTTCTCCAGAGCTTTTGTAATGGTTGTCAAGTAGTGGTCAGTAAGGCAAACTAATCTTTGAGTGCGATTTTGTGAATATATTCCCATGTACCTGTTCACCATCAGTGTAGTCAGTCTTCCCTCCCTCCCTCTTCAGTGCTGTGTTACATACTTCATGAAGTTAGCATTGGTTGCTCATGAAAAATATAATTGATTCCTGAACATAAGAATCAATGAGTCACAGCCAGGTGTTGGTGGCGCACGCCTTTAATCCCAGCACTCGGGAGGCAGAGGCAGGTGGATCTCTGTGAGTTTGAGGCCAGCCTGGTCTACAGAGCAAGTTCCAGGACAGCCTCCAAAGCTACACAGAGAAACCCTGTCTTGGAAAAAAAAAAAAAAAGAATCAATGAATCACGGTGATAAAGATATTGTGACATTTTGTAGAAGTTTAGTGTCCTTTGAGAGAAAGCTTAACTTAATACACAATCGTTGGAGCTAAAAAAGATGAGTAACTTTTTAAAGAAGCAAGGAGTAACTATTGATATTCTTTAGTTGAATTTTTAAAAAGGAAAACATAAAATCTCACATGGTTTTCAAAGTTGTTGTTTTTGTTTGTTTGTTTTGTGAGTTTTTGTTTGTTTGTTTGTTTGTTTGTTTGTTTTGGCGAAACAGGATTTCTCTGTGTAGCCCTGGCCATCCTGGAACTCCCTCTGTAGAACAGGCTGATTGCAAACTCAAAGATCAACTGCCTCTTCCTCCCAAGTGCTGGGATTAAAGGTGTGCATCACCGGGCCTATTTTAAAGACCATTTTAATGCATAATGGCCAGGCTTGGTGTGACACAAACGCAAGGTCTGGGGTCTGTCTGAGCTTGCCGAGATCTTGATTACCTAACCTAGACTCTGACTCAAAACACCAATAACAAAACAACCTAAAAGAATCCTACCTTTGTTATTTTAAGTTTTTTTTGTGACCGTATCATTTTTATATTACTTAGATGATATATTCTTTAAAGATTATTTTCTTCTCGGATATTTTAACTTTACAACAGCTTGTTTTGAGGCAAAAGCTCGCCTCATATATGGGACCTTAAAGTTGCAGTCTCACCTCTGCCTCCCAAGTACTAGTCACAGGCCTGTTATGCTGTTTAGCCCAGGCTGGCTTTGAACTTGTTACCTTCCTGCCTCTGCCTCCTCCCAGGTGTTGATAATTGCAGGGCTGCACCCACACCCAACCTCATGTCTTGATTTTCTACTGATAATTAGAAACTTTCCAACCATGATAGTTAAGAAATCTGTTTCTGTTTTGTTCCTCTCACATTTGAAATTATACAATATTTTTTGTGCTAGTTTGAAACCTGAGGCTACTTTGGTGTCTAGTGACAAAATAGTGTACAGTATGATAAAAGTGTTTTCATTGTGAACCTTGGAGTAGTGTGACCGAGATCACGAAAACAGCTCCGTGAATGAGTTTGTAATTCTGCTACTATCACATTCTGATGCAATTTATCTCTTATTTTTCTGGTTAGATTTATTCTCCTGACCATACAAGCAGTAGTTTTCCATCAAATCCATCAACACCAGTGGGATCTCCTTCACCTCTCACAGGTGAGTTTCCATTTTATGCATAGAACATAACAAGTGTACTTGAAAATAATTCTGATTCAACAAAGTTTCAATAAAATCCTATTTAAATTATAAAAAAGTCATTTTGACAATAAACATCTAGTCAGAAAGTGTCCCTGGAATTCATTTTGAAGAAATACTGAAATATTTGCTTATCTTGAATTATTTGTTAATGATCTTTGGTTCTGAAGTACTCTGTGGTAGTTTCCAATGCCAGTTGTAACATAACTTCTTTGAGACTCTTAGGTTATAATTACACACTTTTATATGAAAACTTGCCAGGGAATTGGCTAGTTTCTCTGTTGAAAAAAAGACTGCTGTAGATGAGCAGCATTAGAGAAGCTGCATAAATGGTTTAGTTTGTTTTCCTTTCTCCTGATTTTGTTTTGTTTTGTTTTGTTTTGTTTTGTTTTGTTTTTTTTGGTTTTTCGAGACAGGGTTTCTCTGTGGCTTTGGAGGCTGTCCTGGAACTCGCTTGGTAGTCCAGGCTGGTCTCGAACTCACAGAGATCCGCCTGCCTCTGCCTCCCGAGTGCTGGGATTAAAGGCGTGCGCCACCAACGCCCGGCTCCTTTCTCCTGATTTTGAACATTGATTTTTGCCAAGTTCTAGAACTATCCTATGAAATGAATTTGTTGAGATACTATAACTACAAATGGTAATTTTTTATTAGTATTAAGTAAAGTCATGAAAATGTCTCTCAGGCAATAATTTTAAAACCTTACCCATATTTTTCTAAGCAACATTTGGAGGGGAAAGACTTACTGAAGCAAAATGTGTTTGTTTTAAAGAGGAGACATTATTAGACAACTAAGTGAAATCACCACATCCCCCACATTGGTCAGCCTCAACTCTGGCGGCCCTGCCTCTCCATGTAGCCACAGTTAAGACAATGTGGTAGTTTCCGTTAAGCACTGTTGTGTTGAAGTTGGGGGCTCGTGTGTCTGTCACCTGTGCTTTGTTAGCCCTGGGTCTCTACTGAGCCACATTCCTGGATAGACATGTCGAGCTGCAGCAGCTGCTCTCGGCTAGTAGCAGGCTATGCCACTTTTTCAGAAATCATGGCTTCAGCTGTCTAGTAAATGTGAAGCAGCTGTTGCCCACTTAGGCAAGATAATAAAAGACCCATTGACTTAGAGTTTAACAGAAGTTACAGGGAGAATGATGTAACTTAGCCCGGCTCACTATCTTAGCACGGTTTTACCAAAATCCTGGGTATAATTTTTGCCACAGTCTGTTTTTGCTCTTTGTCATCTGCTGTGTCCATGTCTGCCTTTACTGTACTTACTCATCAAGGAAGAAAGGAGCCTGGTGCTCAGCATTTAAGAAGGTATGAGTGAAACAGACTGGTACAACAAAGGTCTCCTCCATTGTTAAGTGAGATTTAACTAGTTATAGTCTTTTCCCCTATAACTCAGATAATTAATCAAAATGTAGACTACTGGTTATATAATGTTTGGGCCTGCTTTGAATTCAACAGTTATAGAAAACCATTTTCACATAATGCTACTGAAACACCAAGGTAGAGTGTATTTATAAAGGCGCATCTCTCCTGTCTTCCCTGTGGTTTCTACTTCCCTTGCATACATGAATACACATACTATGGCAGAGCAGAGATGGGGAAGAAGGAAAAGCACTCTGTGATAAATGTTCACAGTCAAAAACAAGGAAACAGCTCACCAGAGCTCCTGTTTGTGCAGATTGCTTTGTACTGTATGTGGCCTTGATCTGTTATCTGAAATAAGTGGGTTTTCCACAGTTAACCCTGTTCCCTATGCCTGGCCATCAGTCTGACTCAGCACTGGATCTGCAAGGATAGACAGAAGCAACAGATTCTCATAGGCAGCTTCATGGCTGTCATTCTTAGATAAATTCATCTCATCTTCTTCCAGAACTTTCCAAAACAGGAACATACATTTTTATCTCATGTACTTGTGAGGAAGCTTCTAAGACATTGTACTTTGAAGCTTAGGGTGAAAGGAAAAGGAACTGTGGTCTCCGCTAGCCTGAACATTAAAGAGCATTTGTTCTTAGGGTATAGGGGAGACATTGAGACCATGTTACTACATATGTAGCCTTGGCTGGTCTGGAATTTGCTGTGTAGACCAAGATGGCCTTGAATTCAGAGATCTGCCTGTCTCTGCCTCCCAAGTGCTGGGATGAAGGGTGCTGGGATTAAAGGTGTATGAGCATCTGTTCTTAACTAACAAGAAGCCCATAGCAGGCTAGCTGTAAATTTGTGTATTAGAGTCCCTGCTGTACCTCCTTTTCCAGATGCCTCTCCTATAGTCTTACCCTCATGTTTCATTGTCCAGCACTAGGCCTATCTCAGTTACTTGCATCTTAAGTGAACCTGCCATGTTTATCTTAGGTATTAGGATTTACCAAAGTGGAATAGAATTATTCTCTCAAGGTATTAGGACAGAACCCTTCATCCCCTTGGAGAAACTCAGGACTTTGATAACAAGGTGAAAGGGAAATGGCTGTGCCTACTACAGTTTAGAAAGTGACACACATTTAGGTTCAGTATGAGAGCTTGGGAGGGAGACAAGCTAACCATTTCTTGACTTCCTTTACCTTCATTTGGGATATAGATGAGGAAAGTCTGTAATGTTAGGACTTGGTGGTAGTCCTTGGAACCTCATAGTAATGAGTAATGGTTCAGTTTAGGTTTATGTCAGTTTAATGAAAACATTTGTGTATGTCATCTGGAAGCATTTCCAGTGTTAAATCACTTACCTGACTTCAGCAGGTTTCCAGATGAGTTGAGAAAATACAGTGAAAGTAAAGTCACAGAATTGACACTCGATTATGGTCAGGTTAGGGCACAGGTTTTATGAAGAGGATTTTAATAGGAGGGAAGCAACTTTTATGAGTATAAAGGAAAGAGTGCAGCACAAATCTGAATATGAGAAAGTGTCTGCCCTCCTAGTATAGTCATGTGTGGAAAGAGTGACTGGGGTATTTTGTGGGAAACTGTAAGGACTGGGATTCTAGTGGTGGTAGTGGGAGGCACAGGAAGGCTTACAAGAGAAACTACTGGGGGGCTGGAGTAAGAAATAACTGGGAGCCACACATTGTGGTATATATCTTTAATCCCAGCACTGGATGAGAGGTGAAGGGGTGGGGACAGAAGGCAAATGAATTTCCAGCATAGTCTATAAAGCAAAGTCCCAAGCCACCCAAGGGTACATAGTAAGTCACTGTTTCAGAAACAAGAGGGAACTAATAAATGAACTAAGGCCTAGAAGTGTTCTAGCTATTATACAGGTGGGAGTATCCATTCTCTTAGTTTATGAACCAGTTCTACTGGGTGAAGTATTTCCTAAGCGCAGTCAGAGTAAGAACAAGTCAGAAACCCTGCATAAATTTTGGTATGACCAAAGTCTTCAAAGAGATAATCCAACTCTAATTCTAGTCACCACCTAGCTTGCTTCTTATAAGTTCAGTAAATTTTAATAAGTAAATTTGATATAATCCTTCTAAACTAAGAGCCACATTTTTAGAGTAGCTAGTTTAAAAAAAGACTGTCAGAAAGTTAAAGAAATTGTTTCCTATGAAGTCTGTGCTCTCCCTGTGGAAATGTCCAGCCACAAACATCAAGTGATGGGCTTGGGGGAGGGAAAACAGCCTATTCTAAGTCGCACCACGACTTCCAGCCTTTGCACTGTTTTCTCAGTTGTCCTGTATGCAATAGTTGGTAATTACATGGTAGAAGCACCGCTATGATTCTAAATTTAACCTGTGTATTTTATTCTCGTGCTAATTTTACAAAGATGAACTGTATAGTGTGCTTTCTAGTATCAGATGCATGCTAGCTAGTGTTGTAGTTTATGTCTGGAATCTGATTCCCACCCCATGCAGAGTACTAGACACCAGTACTCCAAGACTGCCAAGATTTTAGTGTATTTACCCTGCTTTGTTTTTTAATTTATTGCATTAGAATCTATACACAGAAGGAGATGGTTTTAATGTTCCATTACCAGAAAGACATTTCGAGTGGTAGCATGCTTTCATATCTCTTAAGATCATCTCTGTAAGGCAGATTAAGATAAATTGGTTTTTTTTTCTTTCTTTCTTTTTTTATTTTTGTGTGTACCACATGCTAAGGATCAAACCTAGAGACTTACACATTCTGGAAGTTACACTCACAGGCTCCTCTAAATGCCTATGTTCTCAATTTTACCAGATGATGGTGCTGATATGTGAGCTAGCTCTGCCTTGTGTAACTGTCTCTCATTCCCTTTGTGCCCAACAATAAAATATTAGGTGACTATTACAGTTACAGGATCTTTGTCCATGAAGTGTAGCTCAGAATTTGCATGATGTTCAAAAAGATATCTATCACTGATTTAGCCCTGCTGATATTCTACTTTAACCTTGTCTTGTAACAGTGAGTAGACCCATCAATAATAAAGTAACAACAAAGTAAATTTAAGTATGTATCTTTTTTAAGTGATTTGTCATTATTATTTTTCATATCCTAACCAGTTTCCCCTTCTTCCTGTCCTCCTAACTCCTCCTCCATCTTTTTTTATATATGGTTTCTCTCTCTCTCTCTCTCTCTCTCTCTCTCTCTCTCTCTCTCTCTCTCTCTCTCTCTCTCTCTCTCTCTCTCTCTCTGTGTGTGTGTGTGTGTGTGTGTGTGTGTGTGTGTGTGTGTGTACACCTGCTATGGCATATACATCTAAAAGTCAGGACAGCTAGCAAGAGTCAGTTCTCTTCTTCTGTTACATGGGTTCCAGGTGACAAACTCAGTTGTGAGGCTTGGCAACAAGCATCTTTACCCACTGAGCCATCTCGATGACCTGTTGCAAGGTTTCTTTATACCACTATCCAAAAATTATAAATAAAAGGCTGAGGAATATAGCTTAATGAGTTGTAAAACAACTCTGTGTTCAGTCCCCTTCTGAGTGCAGATTTCTCATGTGAGTGATGAGGTGCATCCCTTTGCTCGTGAGGAACCACAGAAACTGTCTGCATTTGTTTACCTACTGACTGTCCTGTCTTCAAACATTTCAGAGCATCCAATTTGATGAACTGGCTCCTGCCACAGACTGATCACATAAGGGTTTGGAGGAAGATTGTACCAAAAATGGTTGAAATTATTTTTTGTTTGTTTTTTGCTTTTTTGTTTTGTTTTTCCAGACAGGGTTTCTCTGTGTTGCCCTAGCTGTCCTAGAACTCACTTTGTAGACCAGGCTGGCCTTGAACTCACAGATCCACTGCCTCTGCCTCCCCAGTGCTGGGATTAAAAGCAGGTGCCACTACCGTCTGTCTGAAATGATTTTTTCTTTCAATAATTTGGAGTCTCTAACTTACAAGCAGCTCCCTACCTAACCATTTTTTAGACGGTGTACCTAGTGCATTTTAGCCTTTGAAACTGCTTCATCCATGCATGACTCTGGGCATTGTCAGAAGATGCACATGAACATGTATGTATATACTCTTTGTTGTTGTTGTTGTTGGTTTGGTTTGGTTTTTTCAAGACAGGGTTTCCGTGTGTAGTGCTTTGGAGGTTGTCTTGGATCTCTTTTTTTGTTTTGTTTTTCGTTTTTTGTTTTTTGTTTTTCAAGACAGGGTATCTCTGTATTGTTTTGGAAGCTGTCTTGGAACTCGCTTGGTAGACCAGGCTGGTCTCGAACCCACAGAGATCCGCCTGCCTCTGCCTCCCGAGTGCTGGGATTAAAGGCGTACGCCACCAACCCTGGCTTGGATCTAACTCTTATAGACCAGGCTGGTTTCAGACTCACAGAGATCTGCTTGCCTCTGCCTCCCAAGTGCTGGGATTAAAGGCATGTACCAACACTGTCCAGTGTACACTCTTTTCAATTGAGAAATACTTCTTCATTTGGAAATAAACTCCCCAGAGGAAAAAAACAGTCACATATATTGTGGCAACATTCAGAATAGCATTGCTAATCAATTAAAACCCAGCCAGGGTGTGGTGACATGGGCCTTTAATCCTAGGGTTTGGGAGGTAGAGGCAGGCAGATCTGAGTTCAAGGTCATCTTGGTCTACATAGCAAGTTTCAGGGCAGCCAGGGCTACATAAGGAGACCCTATCTCAAAGGAAAATAAATTGCTGGTAATGAGATATGGGTAATTAAGAAAATTATGGTACGGAGAAACAGATAAGTATTATTGTCGTCATTAATAGCATTATCAAACACTGTAAAGCCATTGTGGGGATGCAGACATTTTAAAACGATATACATTTTCAAAGATACACATGTTTGTAGACAAAGTCTAAAGAATATACAAACAATGCTAGCTATGGGCTTTTTCCTGTTTACTCAACTCACTAAATTGGTATATTAATAATGAAAAAGTTTTCTAACATTTTATGCTTGTAAGTTGCCAATATTATGCTAAATGGTAAACAAGCTTTCTATTATTTGTTTATGATTACTGAGTATCTTTACACTTCCCATAACATTACCAAGACACTGAATTCATCCATACATGTGAATGCTTTTTGGTGTAACAGGTACCAGTCAGTGGCCCAGAGCAGGAGGACAAGCTCCTTCATCTCCAAGCTATGAAAACTCGCTTCACTCCCTGGTAAGAGCCGTCTATTGTCTTTACAATTGTTACAGAATTTTTGCTTTGTGGTTCAGAGGGGTTTTTGTTAGTAGTGGTTTTGCTGTTGTTTCTAAATCTTATTTAACAGTGAATACACATTGCTCACAAATTTTTTGCTAACAGATGACCTAATTTGGTAGACAATATGACACTTTAGGTGTCTTTATTTTCATCTGGTTTTTTTTTGGGGGGAGACATGAGACTTACATAGACAAATTAAAGGAGTACTGAAGGATTTTTATTTCTTTGAAAAATATAAATCTTTTTTTTTTAAATATTTATTCATTATGTGTACAGTGTTCTGCCTGCATGTCTGCTTACACGCCAGAAGAGGGCACCAGATCTCATTGTAGATGGTTGTGAGCCACCATGTGGTTGCTGGGGATTGAACTCAGGACCTTTGGAAGAGCAATCAGTGCTCTTAGCCTCTGAGCCGTCTCTCCAGCCCTGAAAAATATAAATCTTAATTTTTCTATACTGTCAGTGTTTATATGTAAGAGGAAATGTATTTTTAAAAAGGACAAGAAATCAAATCCATTGATTCAAAATCATGTTTTTATTACATTTATGAGACTTCCATTAATGTCATTTTTTATTACAATAAAAAAGTACAAATTTCACAAGCACAACTTTGCTTGCAGACAGATAGGACTAATAGTCCAAGGTGAAAGATTTACAGTAAAATGCTCACTACTGTTGCTTTTGTGTGCTTACATTTGTAACCCAGAATCACAAAGTGTAACAAAAATAAACAAATGAGTGTGATCTGGTGAGATGCTAAGTCATGTTCTCATTTAGTAATTCCATGTTGCAAACAGAAACACTCTTTTTCTGTGCCTAACAAAATATTTTTAAGTTGAGGGAATATTGTCTTCTCATGTATTTTACCAGCAAACCCTAGCAGTGTGTGCTGTTTAGATGCTAACCTTGTGAGTCCCTATTAAATCCCAGTCTTTTCAGAACCTAATACAAGTAGATCTTGCAGATCTCCACATTAACTTTACTAACAGGTTATGCCAACAAGCACATCAGCTATTTCTCATCTCTTTTGGAGTTAATCTTAACCTGTGCTTTGCCTCCTGTTCTGTCTTGACTTTGCCAGAAAAATCGAGTTGAGCAGCAACTTCACGAGCATTTGCAAGATGCAATGTCCTTCTTAAAGGATGTCTGTGAGGTACTATTTCTTTTAGATGGTGCCTTTTTTTGTGTGTTTAAATTACTTATACGTCCCTTCTCCATTTAAAATTATCAAGCTATACAGACTCCAGCGTCTTTTAAAAATCAAATAATAAGCATTGCCACTCCTGTAGCAGTGCTAGAAGTAGACATGTCTGTTGAGAATGGCTTCTTTTAAGAGCTCTACTGGCATGTGCTTTTGATTTCCAGAAGTCTAATGTGTTTATGTGTAATAAGGCATGTGTGACCCATGGGCAGTAGATGTCTTTCCTTCAGTTTTATTAAAGTGCTTATTGAATGTGTACACCATTGAAGATAGGTGTGTTCTGCTCACCTAAAACTTAAACTAAGTGGATTGAGAGCCTTTCCCCAAATTAATATCTTTCAGAGGTCATGTTAAAGTACAGTTTATTCCTTTCCATCAGCTGTAATTGAGTATCGACACAGCAGCCTTCATTTATTATAGAAACTAAACGAAATAACTTCATGATAGATTGTAAATTTGTCTTATAAAGCAGTGACTTGTATTCACAGCTTTGAAAATTCATCATAGTCTGAAGATAGCTGCATTTTTTGTTGTTGGTTTGAAGTGCAGATAGTCATTCTTAAAGCTAGTTGATACTGTATTGTACTTGCTACCTTCCATATATCCCTGAATAGGAGATGTAGAAGCTTAGTAAATTGAGTAGATACCATCAGTAACCACCCTACTACCTGTTATTTTTAATCCTTACAGCAGTCTCGAATGGAGGACCGTTTAGACAGACTGGATGATGCTATTCATGTGCTTCGGAACCATGCAGTTGGACCTTCTACCAGTCTGCCTACTAGCCACAGTGATATACACAGTTTATTGGGACCATCCCATAATGCACCAATTGGAAACCTCAATTCAAACTATGGAGGATCAAGCCTTGTTACAAACAGTCGATCAGCTTCGATGGTAAGTCATGTTCGTCTTATGTGAAATTACCCCTATTATCCTAATTGTTTTTCATGAAATTTGGAGAAAAGGGTTGGAGGGTTCTTTTCTTGAATGGAGTGTTAAAAGGAGCCTTTTATAAAGGAGACTCTCTTTTATCAGCTACCATATGGTCTGTCAGATTCTGCTATGGCCACATACAAAAAGAAGAAACTTTCTACTGGTCTGCTTTCCAGATACATACTCATTGGAATGACAGTTTATGCCTTAGATAGTGAGTAGGAAGGATGAATAGCATAGCCTGTGAAGCAAGACTGAGCTTTAAAGTCTAGCTGGGACCAGTGTCACAGGCCTGTCATCTCAGCTATTCCAGAAGCTGAGCCGGAAGAAGAGCAAGCTCAAGGCCAGCTTGGGGGTCTTAGTAAGACCCTGTTTCAAAGCAAAAAGAAGCCTGGAGATGGTGGCTCAATGGTAGAGCACTTCTCTAGCATGTATGAGGCCCTGGGTTTAGTCTTCAGTGACACAGTTTAGAAAATTTTTCTAAGCTAGAAAAGTTGTTTGTTATGATCTAGAACTTGCCTTCAATAGTAAAAATTTAAAAACTGAAACTCTTAATATGTACAGGTCCAAATTTAGCCTTTTTTCCCAAATCAAGAAAAAAAATGGAATAAGGGAGCATCTAGAAAGATTGCTAGATAACAAAGGAAAGTATTTTAGATTAGTCCTCTCAGAAGATAAAATAATTTCATTCATCTTTAGAAAAGGCATAGACTTCTAAAACTGTGTATAAAAAATGTCTGTGTCAAATGTCTTGCATTATTTTTTCATCCAGATTGTCTTTTAAAGATTTATTTTGAACCTGCTGTATAACTGATACCATGTGTCCTCATGTTTATTGCATGGTTTTTAAAGCTCACTGCATACTGCAAAATATTTTCCTGTGAAACAGATTTCAGACTATAAGCCATGTGATCAAGGCTAAAATTCTCCTATAGCCACAGCAATTAAGTGCTCCAATGCTGAGGGCCTGATTTCTGTAAAGTGGTATTGATTCCAGCTCTCCACATTTGCATGTCCCCAGAAAGCAGCAAAGGCCACCTGGTTTCTAGTCTCTCTATTTCCACCTCATGTCTTAGCAGTTAGAGATGTTGTTTTCTGTATTCTTTGTTTTGTTTTGAGTGTCAGGAAATCTTAGATTTTAACCACCTTCTAAATTAGTTTTTGCTGATATACTAATATGAAAACATTTATGAATTTTAAATTCTGATATGACTTGTCTTCACTATAACTATTAGAAAAAGTTTAGTAGAGCCTTGGTAGCACAAGCCTTTAATCCTAGCAATTGAGAGGTAGGCTCATGGTTCTCTGATTTTTTTTTTTTTAAGGCTAACTAGTGCTACACAGAGAGAACTTGTCTCAAAAAGAAAAATTTCAGTGGTATAATTAGACTAGTAGCATGGCATTTTACAACTATAGATACAGAAAACTAGATTTTAATAAGTTGCTGATATGTTGCTTACCTTTATTTCTAGCAGAATGACTTGAAAATCCTATCTTTAAATATCAGATTGGCCTTTGAATTCCTCCCCTGTGAAGCTTTTTTTTTTTAACTTTTTGCTATTACTAAGGTACTCAACTTTGTAGCCCTACTGGCCTCGAACTCACAGAGTTCCGCCTGCATCTGCCTCCCAAAGAGATATTCTGATGGAGAAAAGGCCTGATAGTGTTCTACAAAGAGGGATCTCCTAAAAAGTAGTGACTCTGGCTCTTTGAGAGTAATAATATCCAAGCCACAGCAGTTAAGCCTAAGCTGTTTTTCAGTGTGTATCAAGACCTTTTCAGTTCTTTCTGTCTTAGAGGGCACATGTCTGTGAGGTTACCACCTAGTATCTACTTTCTCCACCTTATCTATAAAGTCAGTAGTACGTTAGTTGTAGAGATTATGCATTGCTACAAACTTATACCGGAAAGTGACTGACAGGATCCGACCACCTCTGGTGAACCAGTGTTTGTCTCTCATCCTTCCAACCTCAACTGTTAGCAGAGTCTGAGTTAAGATCAAAGGATGAAAATGACCACAGGAAGACGTCAGCCTTCCTTGTTCATGTGCTCAGTACCCACCCTTGTTCTCACAGGATGTATATGATTTAGGGGTGGATTTTTGTGTCTGTTTCATTCGGCTTCAAGAGTTAATCTCTTTTGTTGTCCTTCATGACTGTATATTCCAACTGACTGTGACAAGAAAAAAAATGGGATTTTATATTCTAAAACTGCTTTCCCTTTTTATCAGAAAGGTAAAAGCTTTTTCTTTAACATTAGCTAATATTTGTTTATAAAATGACCACAGAAGTAATCAGTTTATTGTAGGATTTAGGAGATAATCTTTCTCAAAAGCTATTTATTTATTCATGTATTTATTTGGGGTTTCTCAAAACAGGGTCTTTGTGTATAGCTCTGGTTGTCCTGGAACTCACTCTGTAGACCAGACTGGCTTCAAATTCACAGAGATCTGCCTGCTTCTGCCTCCCAGTTAAAGGTGTGCACCACCACTGCCAGTCCATCACTCCATTTATAACTTATAAAGTCATTCTATTAGACACAAATATCTTCAGGAACTCACCATAACATTCAAATAATTTATTTGTTCAGTGAGTTTATTCTAAGGACATTACTGTAAATGAGTATCCAGACTATAGATTTAAATGTGATAGATACTGCTTTCTTTCCTAGCATTTGGAAAAGATTTGACTTATGTTCTATATGAAGGGAAAGCTAGAAGGAACAGCTGCTATCTTCAGCTTTGCATATTGTATGATCTGTGTCACACTACTTGACTCTGGTGAGAATAAGGATTGAGTCTAGGGCATGCTTGATGGGAAATCACACTAATGAGCTCCACCCCACCCCTCCAACTACTCAATCTGATGTTGTAAAAGACAGCAGTGTGACATATAGGGGAGGAGGGGTGAACACAGCTGAATTCCCGGATCATTTATTTGCAGAAATACGTTCCTTTATTTAAAAACCTTTATTTTTAAAAAAAGAAAAAAAGACAAGATTTATCCACAGGCCTACTTTGTCAGTTCCTTGCTTTGATCATAAACTGACTTACCAGTAAATAAAATGGAGGTTGACACAGTTTCGTTTGGGTTTTGTTTTGTTCTTTGTTTTCCTTTTTCTTGGAGCTTTATTTACTCAATTTACTGCTCCCCATTTATATTTTTTTATTTTTCCATATCTAAATATAAAACATGAGTCTCCCAAGTACATTAGTATGTGAGATTGATATTTCATTTTAAAATGGTGTTTAGAACTACTGAAATATCAGAATTTGGTTTTACTTTTACTTTCATTTGTTTAATCTAAGAATAAACCACTAACAAGAAGAATTTTAACAAAAACTTAAAAAATTCTTTAAACAAAAAAATGAATGGAATTAATCAATTTCATCTGGGAATTAAACAGGTGCTTCAGCAGGATAAGATTACTACTTATCTATTGTATATATTATAACTGTGCCCAACAGGTGACGGTGCACACCTTTAATTCCAGCCCTTAGGAGACAAAGGCAGGCAGATCCTGTGAGTGCAAGGCCAGCCTGGTCTATAGAGTGAGTTACAGGACAGCTAAGGCTACACAGAGAAACCCTGTCAGCAGGGGAGAAAAGAAAATGGAGAAAAACAAAAACCCCTGTGCCCAACAAGGTAGCATCTTGCCACTGCCTGTGTCTTTCACAAAATATCACAGTGATTTCAAGTAGACCATGCCAAGAGAGATTTGAGACTGTGTTTGTTTGTCATGGAAGCTTGATGCCAATCTTTTAAAGGTTGTTGAAATTAGTAAGGTGCAACTGTGGCATTTGTCACCAGACAATGCAAGCCTGAAAATTTGAGTTCAGTTCTCTGAACCCACATAGAAATGAAGGAGGAAAAATTATTTCATAAAGTTGTACTCTGACCTCTACTCATGTAATAGTGACATTTTTAAAATTTCTTAAAAGTTCTAGATTGATGGTATATAATGAAATTCTCTCCATGGATCTCTTATTGTTACAAGACTTACAGAAATTTAATACAGATTTTTTTTTTGTTTTTTTTTTGTTTTTTTTTTGTTTTTCGAGACAGGGTTTCACTGTATTGCTTTGGAGCCTGTCCTGGAACTCGCTCTGTAGACCGACCAGGCTGGCCTCAGACTCACAGAGATCCGCCTGCCACTGCCTCCCGAGTGCTGGGATTAAAGGCATGCACCACCAACGTCCGGCTAATACAGATATTTTAAAATTTATTTTTTGGTATTGCTTGAGGTTTTTGGTGTTGAAATAGAATAATATTTTATTCAGAGTTTTCTTGGCCTTTTGTCACTTTACTAAAATAAATATGAAATCTTTGTATGAGGCAAATTGACTGCACATTCATGTATATATAGGTCAGAAGACAACCTTCGGCGTCATTTATTTAGTTAATAAGTTTTGGTTTTTCAAGACAGGGTTTCTCTGTGTAGCTAGCCCTGACTATCCTGCAACTCACTGCATAGGCTGGCCAGGAACTCAGATTCACCTGCCTCTGCCTCCCAGGTATTGGGATTAAAGGTGTACGCCACAATGTCTGGCTTTCTTAATCACCAACCACCTTTTGTTGGAGACAGGGTCTCTCATTTGGTGTGAAACTTCACCATATAGGCCAGACCAGCTGGCCAGCAAACTCCAGGGATCCTCCTGTCCCTGCCTCCTGTAGGAACCGTATGTCCTACTACAGCCAGCCTCCTATGTGGGTTCTGGGGCTCTAACCTCAGATCCTCAATTTGCAAATCCAAGTGAGCAATCTTCTCATTTCTCCTAATTTTAAATATTCTTATTTTTCCTGTTGGGCAGGAGTTAATTCTATAATGGGTTTCTATACTAAAGAAAATTATGTGTCCAGGTTTCAGCTGAATAAAATAATTATACTTAAAACTACTCCTACTGTTATAGTCCATTTTTCCCATAAATGGAAATTTATAAAGTCTTTGTTTTTATTCACATTTAAATGTTCACATTCAAATTATTTTAAGTAGTTTAGTGTTTTTAAATTTTAATATATTTATTTTTTAAAAAATACACTTAAGGAAATATAAGGATTAAGGAAACAGCAAATGGGTTAAACCAACAAAATGTTTTAGATGCTGTTTAAAAATCATTTAATTAGTCTGTATATTAATAATGGTCAAAGTAAAGACAATAATATTCAGCAAGTAATACAGATGAATACTGATGAATAGAATCAGACGACTTCATACTAAGAAATTTGGAGTCTGTTCTTTAATTCAACCAATTAGATTTAACAATTTTTCTATTATGACTACTAAAGTCATTGACCAGATTAAATGAAAAGGAGTTCCTTGTAGGTTATTCCACAGATTGTGAAGGTTCGGTGTGCAAGACTAAGTCATTTAGTGCATTGGACCTTTTATTCTGAAGTGAGGTTCTTATAAGAATTGAAACTTAGAGCATAGCAGGCCTAGGGGTTTGCCTTCCTTGATACTCCCCCAATAGTAGCAGCCTGTCAGCTGTATGCTAACGAGATGAACAATTAAAATGGTCCTATCTGGCTGGCCCACAGGCTTCCGCACAAAGAACTGTTTATACACCTGTTGTTCATGAAGACAGCCATGTCAGTGTGGAGCCACAGATTAAAGGAAGAATATGGGAGCCAGGGTTGGCAAGGGTTAAGGAGAACTATTAAACTGGAAGTCAAATGCTTCAGAAAATATATGAGGGCCATTTGCAAGAGGAATCAAGTTACAAAGAAAAAGTTTCTGCTGACTGCATTAACATGGGAAACTCCAGACTTCAAGCTTTCTGCTAGTCTGAGACCATAATTTAAAGGTTTATATTTTTACTACATATGCCAACTGAAAAGTTTTTGGAGGCCAGTATTGTGAGTGCTGTAAGAAAATAACCTTGGACTGTTTCATTGAGGCAAAAATACTTGCTAGCCTTTATATCCCCAAATAAGCAAGACAGCATACCTTATTTCCTTTGATGAAGAGCCTTTTGTTGGGCAAAGGGTCGGCACAGTACTTTTTGTTAAAGTGCAGAAATTTTGTTTTGTTTTGTTTTGTTTTCTTGTGCTATTGAAGTAAAGGAAGTAGAATTCGGCAGATGCTTTGCCTCTGAACAACTCAGCTGTTGCAGCTCAGGCTAGGTTTCTCTTGTGTAATACAGAGTGGGTATTTGTGTATTTTGAAGTTTATAAGGCCTTTTCCTTTAGTGTTTTTGTTGTTGTTGTTGTTGTTGTTGTTTGGTAATTCAGAATATTAAATAAAAACAGAATTAAGTATCTTTTAACCAAAATCTTGTGAAGTTTTAAGTGTACAAACTTACGGAAAGTTCACCTTCTGCTTTATTGAAGAGAGATTTCCTCTATGGTATTTCACCTTTAAAATAGGTTCACACTTCAATTAGCAGCTGTATGTTGTCTATCCCGTGTCTTTTCATAAAATGGAATTTACTTTGTGTGTGTTTATGGTTTGTGGGGGGCCAGAGGGGTTGAGATACTGGCTGTGTGTGTGTGTGTGTGTGTGTGTGTGTGTGTGTGTGTGTGTGTGTGTGTGTGTGTGTGTGTGTAGTTAACATCTGGTGTCTTTCTCCCTAGAGGAAGGGAGGGGAGAGAGAGGAGTGTGTGTGTGAGAGAGAGAGAGAGAGAATGTGAAGTTAACATCCAGTGTCTTTCTCCCTAGCTCCCCACCTTATATATTGAGTCAGTGTCTCTCACTTGAACCCAGAGCTTGCCAGTTAGCCTCCTCTGGCTACTCTGGCTAGCCAGCTTGCTCTCAGGAATCTTCAGCCTCGTTCTTCCTTGCAGGAGATTACAAGCTGCTGTCACTCACTCCCAGCCTTTATGTGGGTACTAGGGATCTGAAACCTGTCCTCAGGCTTGTGTGGTCTCAGCACCTAGAATAGGATTTCCAAGTGGCCTTCCTTTCCTCTTTTGTAGGAAGAAGGCACTATAAGCGTTAAGGACAGACAGATTTGACCAGAATGTCTTATGTCAGAGTCCCCTTGACACTACTGCAAGTTTCTCCTTCAGTCTTCTTTCTTCACTGACTGCTAGGTTAAGGTCTTCAGGGTTTTTCTTAGAGTCTTTAATGGAGACAGGGAACTTAAAGTCTGAAATTTTCAAAGGTGGAAAGAGATTAGAAGTCTTCCATCATTCTTATGCTCCCCCTCTGCTTTAAGGTATGGTTCTGATGCATGATGAAATTTACATGGTTTAGGGGAAAAGTACAGACTAGAATATGCAAAGGGAACAGTGACAGTAATTCTCTGTGGTGGCTAATCCTCAGATAATTTTGAAAGCTATAGAATACATTAAAGATGAGAATAAGAATAAAAGACAAATACTTCTTTTAAAAGTGTCGTGAACACCTGAAATGTTCTAATCAGAACCCACTGCCAGATGACACAATTGCCTGAAACTCTTGCTTTGGGTTTTTTATTTCACTCGCAGGAAATCAAAGGATAAACCCACATGAGGATATTTATACATCTTAGGATAAAATTCACAGTCATAAAAGATAAAAAGGTACACTAATCACTTGAGGTGTTCTCTGTTTGATAACTTGTTAAGACTGAAGGACCTTTTGAAAACAGTTCTCATGTATAATCCAGGCAGTAAACTATTTAATTAAAATCTTAATATTTTAGTTGACAAGTCTGCTACTGTTCTAATAAAAAGCTTTATTTGTAACGTATTTCTCTTAAAATAGTGCAGTATCTAATGGTTGGTGTTAGTGTACGTTACCTTCTCATTTGGATCACCTATAGCTTGGATTAAGTTTAACGCTTAAGAATAAATATGGAGATTTCATTTAGATTTGCATTACAGGTTAGAAGGAGGAAAAATAAGCTACTGTATATGTGGAAAGATGACAGTTAGATGAATACCATTAGTACCTTCAGTATGGGGATATTTTATTCAGCACGGGAACAGGTATGTAGAGTAGGTTATTGGGTTTGTGGAGATCTCTAGTGCTGTCCCTTTTAGAGTGCCTTATCTGGCTAGAATGTGGCATTCATTGGTAGCACTTTTGGCTTTTACTAACAACACTATGGAATTTAAAATTTTTTTAATTATTTTTTAAGAAACATTTGAGTTCAAATACTTTAATACTGTTAAGCATTTTAAAGTATTCACTGGGATTCAGAAAAAGTAACACCCAAAAAGAGTTTTTAAATTCAGATGAATAATACTGTATTCTCTATACAATACTGTGTGTATATCACCTTATACAAAGGCAAGTGAAGTGGTGCATGCCTGTAATCCTGGCTGTTTAGAAGACTAAGGCAGGAGAGTCACTTGAATTAAGGAGTTTGGGGTCAGGCTGCCACTTTGTGACTTCTTTTTGTTTGTTTGTTTGTTGTTTTTACTTTAGGTTGGAACTCATCGAGAAGATTCAGTCAATCTCAATGGCAATCATTCAGTTCTGTCTAGTACTGTTGCTGCCTCAAACACAGACCTGAACCATAAAACACCAGAAAATTACAGAGGTAACTTTTGGCTTTTTTTTTTTTTTTTTTTTTTTTTTAGCAGTACTGTTGAAAGCAGTGTCCTTTGGAGTACTGTCCATTTGAACTGCCACCTGTGGATGCAGAAGGTCACTATCTAGTGTTTATTCAACCATTTTGGTTGCAAACTGCTGTGTAGCGCTCAGTGGGGGGTCTGTGCAGCCGCTCCTGTCCTGTCCCTTGAGTACTTCTTTCTTTCGAGTAAGCCTGCACAGTCCTTACAGTCAGTAAGACATAGGTTTGTTTGTTGAGAGCTGTGAATTACAATAACTGTTTGAGACTCATAGACATAAAATTTTCAAAGAAAAAAACCTGATCCTTGGTACAATATAGAGATTTATGAATAAATACAAATATCTAGGTAAAATTAGGACTGCTGCCTTATTGACTACTGGTTTCTGACAAGTTCTTTCTGGCTCTAAATAATGCACTTTTCTGTACCTCCAGAATGTTTCATGCAACCTAAACCCTAAGTATATTTATCTCTAGGATGCTTTGAACCATCTTGATTGGAACATGTGCAACTAAACTTACAATTTATATTTCCTTTCCCTCTTTTTTAGGTGGTTTGCAAAATCAGTCTGGAAATGTTGTTCCAACAGAAATCAAGACTGAAAACAAAGAAAAAGATGAGAACCTTCATGAGCCTCCTTCATCAGATGACATGAAATCAGATGATGAATCTTCCCAAAAAGACATCAAGGTCTCGTCTAGAGGCAGAACAAGGTGTGTGTTAGTGTTCATCCCTTAAATCGCACATGTTTGCCCTAGAGAAAAAAATGTTTTGGGGCCCTGTAGAGTGCCATACATTAGTAATAACCATCCATATTCTCGGTGCTAGGCTGTGATTTTTTTTTAAATCTAAATTTACCTATTTCATCCTCACATCTCTAAAGAGAAGGCATGTGAATGTGTGACTAAAGTTAGGATTTCACATCCCTTTGTGTCTTCATATAAAAAGGAAACTGCCTAGCTTGTCTAAGTTGCTCATAGTATAAAAAAGACAGTGAGAGGACAGATTAAACTGTTGTATGTCAGCCAGTAAATATTTGGTCTATGAAAGAACTAAATATATGGCAGAATCTAATGTGGTTTATGCAAACACTAGCCTGTTGCTTATTATGTGGTATTATTGGAAACCCCATGTGCTTTGGTTTCATGTCTTCTGTGCCTAGGTTTGCTTTACATTGGCAGATTTGAGTAGTTGCCACACACCATTTGGCTAAAAAAAAAAAAAAAAAAAAAGGAAATATTTACCATTTGGCCCTTTTATAGAGAAGGTTTGCTATTCCTGATTTCAGCGGTAATTTGAGAAAAAAATGTAAAAAAGAGAGTTCCAAATAGAGTGATGCTCTCAAAAAGTTTTCCAGAGATTGAAATTGACGTGCTTTCAAACATGAATTTGGACACATTAATACATTATTTTCAAATGATTCTGTGTCTTCCTTCAGTGTTTTTGGTTTTGGTTTTTTGGTTTTACATTAAAATTAGGTGATTGGGGGTCTGGAAAAATGGCTTAGTGGTAAGAGCCCTGACTGCTCTTCCCAGCACCCACACGACAACTCAGAACTGTCTGTAACTCCAGCTCCAGGGGATCCAATACCTTCATACATGCAGGGAAAACACCAATGCACATAAAATAAATAAATCTTAAAATACAAAATATTACAAAAAAATTAGGAGATTTTGTGTGTGTGCACATGTATATTGTGTTTTTCAGACATTGTAGCCTAGCATGGTCTTGAACTCATGATCCTCTTGCTTTAACCTTCCAAGTTGCTGGAATTACAGACATGATCAGCCAAGCCCAGCATGACTTAATATATATTTTCAGTGCATCTTATTTTATAGTATATGAATCATTTGTCATATATATGTAACATACAAGTATTGATATTTAATATGTTTTACGTATTATAAGCAGAAGGGTCAGCAATGATGGAACTAAAAGAAGCCATGACCCTTTCTTCCATTTACACACCTCATATAGCGCTCCTTTGCTTTTGATATTGTCACAGCTTTCAAAGCCAAAATGTTTCTCTTGAGAAAAATGAGTTTTTGCAGTGCTGTGGTTTTAATATATGACTTACTATGTGACGAATGTAAATGAGAAAGTAAACTCATTTGGAGAATTCTGAGACCAGTTCTAGTCATCTTAACTCATGGTTTTGTTATTCTGAGCAAATTTTAAGAGATAATTTGCATCCTGTCTTCTCTCCATGTTCATTAAGAATCAATAGACTTTCCTCTAAAGGGCCAGATCATCGATACTTCAGTTGATGGACCATGTTGTCCCTGTCACAACTACTCAGTTCTACTGTTGTAGCACCAAATAGCCAGATGGATGGATGGATGGATGGATGGATGGATGGATGGATGGATGGATGGATGGATGGATGGATGGATGGGGGAAAATTGGGAGATTTGAAAATTTTTGGGGGGAGGACCTGGTAACACTGAGACTGCTGTGTGGATCCAGTCTGTATAACAAGATAGTAGAATTATGTTTCTTGTTTATGAATAATTTGCTTTCATGAAAATGCTTTTATTCTAAAATGTGTAATGACAGATGTATTAAAATCATGGTACAGCTTAACTAAATGACTTTCAGGTACAGTGAAGAAAGAAAAGGAATATCCAGTCTCAGCTACAAGTACAGCAGTTGCTCTTGTCTAGTAGGGGTTGTAATTTCCATTTTTACCTTTATGCTTTATACTTTGGCACAGTCAGCATATCTGTGGAGAAGCTCATAGACACTGTTTCTGCTGTTTTCCAGCAGTACCAATGAAGATGAGGATCTGAATCCGGAACAGAAAATTGAAAGGGAGAAGGAAAGGCGGATGGCTAACAATGCTAGAGAGCGCCTGCGTGTGCGGGATATTAATGAAGCATTCAAAGAGCTTGGCCGAATGTGTCAGCTTCATTTGAAGAGTGAAAAACCTCAGACAAAACTCCTCATTCTTCATCAGGCCGTGGCAGTCATCCTTAGTCTAGAACAGCAAGTCAGAGGTAAGTCAGTCCAGCAGAGACAGACAGGCAAACATTTGTTAACTGCTTTGCTTAGGCATATCTGAATACTGCTGTTGGTGCTATCAGAACCCAGCTCTCCCTGTACTTCCCACAAACCTGTAGAGACTAATCCTATGAAATGGAGCAGAGAACAAACAGCATCAGCCTGCTGTTCAGCTTGGAGTGCATTTGCTCCTGTGAACTCAGGATCTGACTGTCGAATTTATTTGTCTAGATCTGCCCTCCTCTCTGTACCATGTTGTATTCCTTCCTCAGCACTAGGTTTCCTTACATGTTTTACTCTGGATCTACAAATGCTGCTGGTTAGTAGGAGGATGACCATGCATGGCTCCTACCTGTCTTTACCACACTGGGGTCCTTTACACCCATGTCATATCTCTGGGCTGTTTTTCAGGGCTGCTTTATTGATCTCTTTTAGAAATGCCATAAACCTCTAAGGCACACCCATGTGTCACATATGTGTGGTTTGAAAGGGTTCACACTGTTGACTGAGGCAATTATTCTGTTTCCTTTATTCATGAAGTCTGATGGGATCCCCAAAAAGCTTTAAAACCTCATTTTTTAGGTGTATTTGTCATAACACCTCTTCCTTGCTGGGCAGTTATCAGATAGTGGACACTCTGCCCTTGAGGTCCCAGCATCTAGCTTGTGTTTCAGCAGTCACCTATATAGTATTTCAGTGCTAATGTTTCATCTGCAAACTTTTTTGCAAGGAATTAATAAAGGTAGCTCTGGATCCCAAACTTGATACTAGTCTCTTTGCTTGTAACTTCCTCTCCTGCTTTCGTTGGATTATCAAAATGTTTATATTGGGTTTTAAGTAGAGTAGTGTAGGTATGTGCTTGCAAACTACAGCCATGATCCCTCAGCATCACTAAAGATGATAGATAACTCAGGGAATCACTGGAACAAGCCTTCATAAAAACTGTTAGCAGCAAGCTAGAAATTCTTCAACTCTATGTTCCTCCAATATGTTTGATGTGTAGGAATGGTGCATAGTCGCCCTGTTCCTAAAACAAGGTATGTGCTCATCTTGTTCAAAACCCTAGAAGTTTATGTAGAGGATAAATGTTCATGAAACCAGATCTTGAAGAATTACAGCCTCCTGTGAAACACAGAAAGGCTGGTGTTGCTGACGTGATGGTAACAGGCACATTGTTCCTTCCTTAGCCAGCCATTCTCATTCTTTCATGGCAACACCACCCCCTTATTGCTTCAACTGTAACTGAATGAACATTTGGCCCCACTTTGAAGGCAACGGGACACCCATATGCATTCTCCCCTCGATTTTCAGCCGGGGATACTTTAACTCTGGTTTCACCAGCAGTTTACTGTTAAAGCTGCCTTCTCTCTCCTGTGAAAGTCTGAGTGCTCAGCAAAGCTTCCAGAATGTATTCTTGTTTAGCACCTTTTCATTCCCACCATGCATTAGAGGTAAAAGACAAGAGTTTTTTAAAACCTTTGGAAATGGAAATTCCTAGTCTCAATCCAAGCCATTAAAATGAGAACTACTTCGTTATTTGGAAAAAGTTAGAAAGCCTGCCTTTCACAGGTGGACCTTGTTCATTTGTAACATGACTCTGCAGCAGTCCTCTGCAGGCACTTAGAACAGAAAACCCAAGTCTGAGAGACCATCCAGGCTTGTCCAGCTACCTCATAGCTGTCCTGTTGTGAGTCTAGTTCTGAAGTTTTCACATATTTGAGCTGTCTGTGAACTTCTTTACTCATCAGAGATGAACAAACTTCAGCTACACTGAACTGCAGCTGTGCTAGGGATTGCTTTACTCTCAGCTAGGCCTTTTCTTCCCTTTTTAGACTATAGGCCTCAAGTCCAGAGTCTTTGCCCTACAGCTCCTTTTCAAGAGCTCCTTGAAAAGCATTCAGATGCCCTCTACCCATTGCCTGGCTCCAGCATTTGAGACAATTGATAATGTATTCATTTAGGAAGACATGCTGTACTTGCAGTCCTGAGCCCAGTAGTTTCTGTAAAGATGTATTTGTTTACCTGGTTTAGTAGGCCTAGTCTAGCTCCTTTTGGTTTACAGTGGTTCTCCAAACTGAATCTGACCAACCCCAACCTGGAATCTCCCAAGGCAGGCAGACCTAGGGCTAGCAGTCTTTCTCCCCTGCCCCATGTGGTGCACACCTTTTATCCCAGCACTGAGGAGGAGGCAGGGGCAGAGACAGAGGCAGGTAGATCTCTGAGTTTGAGGCCAGCCTGGTCTACAGAGTGGGTTCCATAACAGCTAGGGCTACATAGTGAGACCCTGTCTCAAAAAAATAAATTGCATGCCGGGCGGTTGTGGCACACGCCTTTAATCCCAGCACTCAGGAGGCAGAGGCAGGCGGATCTCTGTGAGTTCGAGGCCGGGCTGGACCGACAGCCTCCAAAACAATACAGAGAAACCTTGTCTCGTAAAACCTAAATAAATAAATAAATAAATGGCAGTTTCTATTAATATTATACTCATTACAGTTTTAAATGATCCCTTTGTATCCATTAAGGCATTTTGAGTCAGTTTATAAAAACTGATGTGTATGTCACTTTGCCCCCTATAGCATATGCTTATAACAGAAACATAAACTAGGTAATAAATTCCTAAGCAAGATACCTTTCCACTTCTTTTTTAAAAGATGTATTTATACATTGTATGTATGTAATATGTATGTATGTATATATATGCATTTACATTTGCACACCAGAAGAGGGCATCAGATCACATGAGTCTACAGTTATAGACTCAGGGCCTCAAGAAGACCACCAACCAGTGCTTTTAACTACTGAGTTATCTCTGCAGACCCACCTTTCCATTTCTTATGGTAGCCCCTATTCTTTTCACTTCTGAGAGATACCTGCATTACACATCATACCTTATCATCTTGGCTGTCTTCTAAAACAAGTTTTAGCACCTTCCTTGCTATACCAAAGCCACAGAAAGAACTCTGTCATCTTATTCTATGTATACACCAGGATAGGAAAGGAAGGAATGCCATGGTCATCTGTTTCCCTTGCATTCGTGTGTTTCCTACAGAGGAATAGTTTTCTGAACTGGTAAATGTGAGGTGCAGCACAGATGTCTTTCCAGGTATAAAGAGGGTATCAACCTTCATATCAATTAATGTACCCTATCATAGCAGGACTCTAAGGCTTGCCAATAATTTGTTTAAAAATTAACATGTTGATTTCAAACAAACTAAACCCTAGAAGACTAAATGATAATCAAAAAATGATACAAAGTTGTCACTAAGAATTCTGGCATCTCATTTAATATGAAGTTGGAGCATATCTTGGCTGCTGTAAATTAGGAGATTTGATATAAAAATGAAATTACACAGATTGATCATTCTCATTCAGCTTAAGACCCAACAGGCTTTATCCTTATCAGGAAGAGAACCACAAGTTAAAGGCTTGCCTGGGTAACAGACCAGTCAGGCCTGGAGATCCAATCTCAGTGCCATTTACCCAAGCCCTGTCCCCTGCCCCTCATTCTGCCTTCTTACATGCTGATAACAGTTCTCTCCTGCTGTAGAGAGGAACCTCAACCCCAAAGCAGCCTGCCTTAAGAGAAGAGAAGAAGAAAAGGTCTCTGCTGCGTCAGCAGAGCCACCAACCACGCTGCCCGGAACCCATCCTGGGCTTAGCGAAACTACCAACCCTATGGGTCATCTGTAAACATCAGCCAGGTACGTATGGGTCTGGGAAGGAAGTGCAAGGAGATCGTGGTTAAAGCTGTGGAGCAGCTCTCTGGCAGGCACTGGTGATTGTAAAGGTCACATATAATTTGGAATACAGTGAACTGTGTGCCTTCCTGTTGTCTCATCAAAACCAGTGTCATTTTAGACCCAATAACTGTTCAAATCATTGGAATAGCTTGTGCCAGATCTTTGGTTTAAGTCAGCACGTGTACTCATTTTCCAAAAAGACAATATATATCACAGTGATACTTTTCTCAGACTGTCTCTGCTCCCACCCTTGCTCCACGTTCTTCTATTGACAAGTACTGGGCCAAACCATGGAGCAATCTTCTGCTAACTGTCTGAGTCAGGCTCCTCTCTATAGGACAGTTACTGCACATTTTCACTTGAATCAGTGATACAGTGTAAAATGCAGTTGCTGTGCTTTTAGTTATGAATTTAACATCCTCTAGAACCCACTGGTGGAACTATAACTAAATATTTTTAACAGTAGCATTTTAACTAACAGCATGGGTTAAGAGTAGAACTGATAATTTCATTTTGGGAATTTTTCGTTTTAGCTTTTGTTTTTCTTGAGACAGGGCCTTACTATGTAACCCTTAGTGCCCTAGAACTCGTTATATAGACCAGGCTGCCCTTGAACTCACAGAGATCTGCCTGCTTCTGCCTCCCAAGTTCTGAGGTTGAGGGCATGTGCCACCACTCCCAGCCATAACTTCATTTTTATAACCTGCCTTTAGTATTGCATAGTTCTTAAGTTTTTTTTTTAAACAGATCTAAAATAGTAGAGACAAATGTGTAGAAGCAAAAACAGTATCAAATGTAGTTTCCTTTGGTTAGCTTTGTGACTATCTCATTTTGAGATGAAAGTTAAAATTTGATAGAATAGTTAGTAAGTAAACTGCTCTTCCATAGGATTTGGTTTATACCACCACTACTAGGATTAGATTAGATTGCAGTTGAAAATGCATGTGGAGAAAAAAAGGAAAAAAAGTCAGTGTACTATTAGTCAGTTTTCATTGCAACATCAGTACCCAGGAGGGAACTCTAGCCACTTCCCCACAAATATCAACAGTCATCAGGTAGGTTTTCATGTCACAGAGTCCTCAGGTAAGAGCTTGCTGGGTCACAATATAAGGTGAGACTTATATTCTGTGGAAAACAATGTTGTGGGAAAGTAACTGACTCATCTGTTTTATAAACAAATATTGGTGTCTTCAGATAAAAACATGCATTGTTTCTCAGCGCCGAGGTAACTTTTTAAGTTGATAAGTCTAGAAGAACAGTGATAGGTTACTTCATACTAAGCTCAAGTACTGGGTTTCCCTCAGACTGTCGAAAAGAACATTTACGCTAGACTCAGAGCCTGTCTTGTCTGTCCTCCCCTCAGTTTACTTTCTGGTCTTTTCCTGTTTTGCTTTCTGCTGCTTTGGAATCTCTAGCCTTATCTTTCTCTATAATAGGGAGATACTCTCACTGAGGGGCCCCTGAAGGGTGCAGTGGTTATGAGTGTATGCCATGTATGCCTCAAACCTTTGTTCACTCCACAAAATCCACTATAGGTACACAGTGGCAAAGGTGTTTCTGCACATAAACTACTAGTAGTAATAATTTAAGAAACATACAAAAAATATCCAACAATTTTCCACCAATGTACAACCAAGTAGCTTTTAATAGTTTTCTAGCCCTAAGAGTATCACCATTACCAAACAGTATGGTCTATTATCTAACAAGGAAGTGAAAGTATGATTCTTCCTAAACTGTTCCATTGTAAGTGAATTTAATAGAATTTTTCAGGTTACTAATACATATATTGTATTGGTAACATATGCATATATAAAACTTGAACTAATAAGATAATTTCTTAAATTCTCTAGACAAATATTTAGTGAAGACCTACCGTGAACCAGCAACTGAGACTTCAGAACTTTCTGTTTAAAAGAAATGAATATATAAACAATCAACCCAACATGCTGGGCTGGGGGCAGCAATGAGGGAGTGTTGTGATCACAGTACTGAGCAGTCAATGAGCAGAATCTGAGGTTAGACGCTGCCAGCTTACCTGTTCCCAAAATGGAAACTTGTGTAATTAGCTGGCTAAGCCATGTGTCAGTTCTTAATAATAAGCTCTCCTGTACATGCACAGCAGGTGAAACTCTGGCAACCACAAACTAGTTCCTTTCTTTGGAAGCTTCACTTTCCATGATTCCAGTTACTTGTAGTCAACCAGTAGTCCATAAACAATTTGCAATGAAGGCTGGGTGTGCTGACACATCTTTTAATTCCAGTATTCAGAAGTAGAGGCAGATGGATCTCCATAAGTTCTGAGCTAGCCTGATAGTCATAACAAATTCCAAGCCAGCCAAGGATACATAGTAAGACCCTGTCTCCAAAAAACAGGATATACATATATAATGAAATTAAATTCCACCCTGCCAAGGAAATGAATTCTTGCTGTCTAGTGTGCATACTGTATATACACTACTCACCTGCTACACACTAAGTAGCCATTTTGATTATCTTATCCACTGTCATAAGTACTTGTTGAAGCAGTCCCTATCATGCTTAATAGTGGCCCCAACGGGCGTTGGTGGCACACGCCTTTAATCCCAGCACTCGGGAGGCAGAGGCAGGTGGATCTCTGTGAGTTCGAGACCAGCCTGGACTACCAGGCGAGTTCCAGGACAGCTTCCAAAGCCACAGAGAAACCCTGTCTCGAAAAACCAAAAAAAAAAAAAAAAAAAAAATAGTGGCCCCAAAGCATAAACTTACAATACATTGTTAGAAGTGTTCTATTTTACTGTTTTTATTGTATTTTATTTTGCCTAACTTGCAAACTTTATCCTAAGCTTTCATGTATAGTAAAAAAATCTTAGTGCAAGTAAGATTCAGTACTTACACCGTTTCAGGCATCCAGTGAGGATGCTGGGTCATGGCCCCGTCACATGAGGAGGTACCTCTGATACCTTAAAAGAAAGAGGCTCTTGTGTAAGTCACTTGGACTAACTTAGTGCAAACCCAGATATAATGAGCAACAGCTGGGATTTTGGGGCGTGGTGTTATGTTTAATAATGGCATACTGACTGTCCTCTTCTCTGCCTGCCACAGTTCCAGTGTCAGCAGTAGGCTAGATAGAAGATGACCTCTCCTCATAAAGACTTGGACAACTCAGATTATCTGAAGACACAAACCAACCTGACAGGAAGGAGAAGAAAAACAAAACACTTGAAGCAAGAAACTCAAATATAATCCTATGATCAAAGCAACTGGTCAACACTTCCATCAGAAGTGAGGATAGGAAGCTCATGAGAGAACGCCGGCCCATGAGGTGTTTACAGCATATCATTCTGCTGTAAGCAATGTGTCGCTTCTGCACAATCAGAGACTGTCTCATCTCTCCACTCAACGTGGAAGTTGCCTTGTGCCTAAACTGAATTGACAAATGCATTGTAACTACAAATTTTATTTATTGTTATGGAACTGTGAGGTCTACATATAAAGGGAAAAAGTTCATGTGGGAAGCTGATCTACACTCAGCTGATGCCAGCATTGTTAAAGCTGTTCACAAAGCAGTGGCAACCATTGGCCCTTAGCATTCCCGGCATACCTGTTAGTGTCTTAAAAAGGAAGGGAGTCCTTTGTTGCCCTCTCCGACCTTCGCCATATGAATAGTGTTTTCCATGAAATAGGAAAATATTAATTGGTATAGCATTTCTCTCTTGTTTTTTCACTCATTTTTATTTTCTCTTTGTGGGTGTTCTATTTGATCTGAGTCTGCATAGGTTATGGTCACAGTCCAGAACCCTCCTTACAGCCCTGTGTGCTTTGTTCATGTCCTTGCAGTGGTAAGCAGACACCATCTGTGACCATAGCCTAGCTAAGATTTTGAAAGGGGAAATTTTGTCCCCTGGATTTGCCCCCAAATAAACATTGCTTTATTTCTAATAATCACTAAGACTTTTCAGGCTTCTAGGTTTCATAGTAAAGCTATAATAGCAAGAAGTGTAACTTACAAGGGAGAGTCTACTTTTTAGAAATTGCTTTGTTTTCCAAGCAGTAAGTACTACATAATATAGTACTTGTAAAGTGTTAGCTGTAAGTAAGCACAAAATGCATTCAGTACAATACAAAGATGACTTTTCAGGCTATGATCATGGTGAGTAACAAAAGCCAGTAGTCACCGGGACAGGCAGTGTGATGAATGCACACAACCACTCTGAGGCTAATTACCTATGGAATCTAAGAGCAATGGTCACATTTCCTTATCCTAGCCTTTACTTCTCTGTCCTTTGGGTGGCTGGTCAGTGAGGGTGTGAGGCAGGAGGGTGATTTAATCACCTGCAAACCACCTGCCCCCACCTCAAAGAGAGCCGGATTAGTGCTGAGCTGTACTTGTTAGTTCATCTTAGCATTATGCATTAAAGAAAGCCCCTCTGTCTCTAATCCTTCATAGTTGTATTTAAGACACAGTAATCACTTTGAACTTCCATGAAATCTGTCTTCCACCACAGCAGCCCTGGGAGAGAAAAACATGCTGAACACGATGGTCTTGGCTAAGTAATTCCATAGAGCCAGTATCAGTCGCAGTCTGCACACAGAAGAAAAATCCCAAGTCGTTTTGTAACTTATAGACTCCGGAGAATTTGAAAGAACAAACTATTAAGACAGCACTTCAGATCCTCCATCAGGACTTTCTAACAAGTCGGACTTAGGTGAATTTAGTGGACTTGATTTGTATACCTTAATTTGCATATGTTCTCCAGTTACATCAGACTCTATCTGTGGCCTTGTTCTTCATTTCAGTGTTAATCAGCTAAAACAGAAGTTGTTGCTTATGATGTATGAGTGAACATAAGCCACTGCCTGGCCTTTTTTCTTCAGAGCTTGTTGTCTTTTTCGCTATATTAGACTTTGCAGTATGCCCAGAAGCTTTCCTTCATAAAATAGAAAGAAAAAAACATTTGGCTTATTTTTCACTGTAGCTAGTCTTTTATACAATAATCTTGTAAGAAAATTTCTTGAATTCTAAATATTACTCTTTCTAGATTTTTGAAATCAAAAATTTTCAGTAAAAAGTTTCTTACTTTATTTTATTATATTAGGTAGTTAAAGAAAATGTAGGGTTATTTACCATAACCTGTTCATTAATATCAGAAATTTACAATAGCATTTTAAGAGCATAGTAGGTTCTAGCATACCGTGTAGTTCCTATGGAGTATTGTGAGAGCGAATTGTTGGAGATGAGCTGCTTTTCATCTTGTTCTCCAGTTTCCATTGTTGGTTTATTGCAGATTTGTATCCTGTGTCAAATTCAAGGTATTATTGATAAACCTTTTCAACCAGCAGCAAGAAGTTCAAATTTTTTTTTCTGTCACTGTAACAGAAAACACAGTATGTATATAACATTTATGTAGCAATAAATGTGCCATCCTTTTTTTTAACATAGTAAACAGTGAGTTTTTTACACTCCTATTTCCCACAGAATAATGTATTTTGTTTTCTTTTCTTTACCTCCTTCCTCCCAGAAAGACTCGAACTGCTTTTCCTGTCTGCACTAACTGTGCTTCACGGGTGACCCCACAGAACACATGGGGCTGGGAGAACTAAGATGACACACCCCAACCCGAACAGTTCTCCTCTTGCCCTCTCTGCTGATGCTGGCCTCTTAAGTCTTTCCTGAAGGTAGAACAAACAGAAGTCCATAGTAAAGAAAATCTCTTGCAGATGTAGAGAAGAATGAAAACAATGGGAAAGGACTTCAGATGAGGGTGTTTTAAGTTGACAGCTCTTAAGCACCTTCCTAATTTTTTTCTCTCTCCTCTCACCTACAGCCAAAAATAAACAAGCAATCAAACCTGCCATGATAGGGAGATGGCAATATTATTAAAGGCTCTTTCATCCATTTTTAACACCACATCCGTCTATGCATGTATACATGCACGCACTGAACAGAAAGCCTGAGATAGGGACCATCTGGTGGTCATTTGCATGAAGAAGGCAGGAAGCACTTCTTTGGGTGGCTTTTGAGATTTGATGTTCATTTGAGACCCAGCAGATCAGTTTACTTCTTGTGTGATTTGATAAATATAAAGTTACTAGTTTGATTTTGTACAAAATGATTTAAAAATTCCATGTAGGAAGAAATTATCTGTTAGAAGTAAAACGAGATCTGGAGAGCTAGTCACCTTACCTCATTAACAGGTCTGTCAGAATGAGCCCAGAAAAATCCTGTGTCCAGGAGCTCTTAGAGCTGGTCAAGACTTAAAACTTTTCCTACAAAAACCCTACCTGCCTTCAACTATTTCCCCTCTGTACAACTTCTAAGGGATTCAACTCAGTGGTTTCATTTTCTATGTGCATTTCCACTAATTTCTCTCAAGTTAATGAATTCTTGTTTCTTTTCCTTAGAAACTCGATTATTTTAAATAGATATCACATAAGGAATGGGTGTGCTCGAGCTCTGTGTGTGTGTGTTTGTGTGTGTGTGTTTGTGTGTGTGTGTTTAGCTAAAGAGTGTTAGTTTTGGCATCAGTCAGTTGATTCAAGTCCAAGTTCAACATCTAATTAACTCTATTTTCGTATCTGGAAAATGGAGATCTGTACAAGAGTTATGTAAGTATTGAATGAAACAATGTATGCAAAGCTCTACCATGGTTCCTATCACATAGTAAGTACTCAATAAATTATGAATATTTTTTAAATAAATAGTATTTTAACCAGTTCCTGGGTGATTCCTCTTCAGCTACACTGGAAAGTGACTTGTAACCCCCAGGAGATAGCAGGCTATATCTGTGGGTTTTCTCTGTGTAGCCTGGTAGTCCTAGAACTCACTTTGTAGACTAGGTGGCCTCAGACTCTGGAGTGTTGGAATTAAAGATGTGCTCCCAGCGCCACTACACCAGCTGAAGATTTACTTTTTAAATCTTCACAGTAGAGTGAGCCTGTAGGCTTTGTCCAGCACCATTGTGGGTGGGTAGTTCTGTCAGTCTGGGCTCCGCCAAGCAGACGCCAGGGGCAAGTTCAGGGTATAAAGGACTTATAGGAAGGGGTGAGTAGGCACGGGTGGGTTAGGGTCTTGATGCAGACCTGACCTCTGGGAAGAGGGCAGACAATCACAAATGGTCACTTGATTACATGCAAAGGCATGCACAACCCTGCAGGAATTAGCAGCAGAGGACTGTGCCCATTACAAAGCTGGGTGTTCAAGTCTGAGGGCTCTGAACACTGCAGCAAGATGTTACAAGTGGCACAGCTAACAGCAACTTCCCAAAATAGTAACCTTAAATGGAGGCCTTGAAGTTAAACTACCACGTCTTCCAACAGTGCCTATACAATTAGCACAATAAAATGAGGCCTTCTGAAATCATTGAGAAGGAAGCAGACTTCAGCAGTCTGGTGCAGTGCTTTTCCTTGTGGCGCTCCACAGCCAGAAAATGTGGTACTCTACATGTCTAGAAAAATGAAACCTGTACTTCTAAGGTGAGTAAATCTAGGTACAACCTTCTGTGGGTTCTGTGCTTCCTGTTCTGGAGTCCTTCGCAGAACTAGATGATCCGCTCTGCCCAGTGGAGGGTGGACAGTGCATGTCTTTGGGGCCATCTGTGCAAAGCCTATTATTTCCTTGTTTGGGTGTTTGCCTATGAGTGCCCTCAGGTCCTACAGTTCTGTGGACTCTTGAGCCTAGAGATAGGAAAGTCCACTAGAGAATGTATTCATAAGGGCTCAGTCCCAAGCAGCAGCACCGTGTGAGATAGGTGTGGTGGTGATGCCTCAGGAGGTAGAAGCAAGAGGATCAAAAGGTCAAGGTCACCTTCAACTTACTTGGCGTTTGAAGCCAGCCTAACATATATATGAGATCCTGTCTCAGAGAAGTTGCAGATCACAAATGAACATACAAAAGGCATCCATGTTTCTATCTAAGAGTTATCAAAGACACAATCCTCACAGTAGCTACAAAATACTATCTAGGGTATATGCTCCAAAACATTGAAGAGACACAAGAAAGTACCACGTTTGTTGTTTGAAAAAGCTAATATTGTTAACACATTCACACTATTCAAGACAAGCTCTAGAATCAATGCAATCCCCATCAAAACTCCAAAGATACTTTCAGGAATTAAAATCTTAAAAATTGAATGGAACCATGAAAGACTCCAAATAACGCTGGTGAGATGGCTAAGCGGTTAAGGTTCAAGCCTGACAGCCTGAGTTCAGGCTACTGGACCCATGTGGTAGATATAAAACCACTCCAAGTTGTCCTGTCATTTGCATACGTGTGCACTGATACACCCACACACATACACCAATTATAAAATTTTAAGGTGTTAATACTGTGCTTTTAAATAATTTTTCCTGTACTTTGTAATATAATTTTAGAAGTTTATGGAACACAAAAGATTCCTAACCACACTTAAACAGAAAGAACCAGTGTGGAACCATCACAAAATAACTCAATGTGCCACAAAACCATAGTAGTGAAGACAAACACAGATCCTGTGTCAAAAGTAAAGGCTCTGGAGAGACGACTCAGTGGTTAAGCACTCACTTCTCAAGGACCCAACTTTGATTACCAGCAACCACATGGCAATTTACAACCAGCTAACTCCAATTTTAGGGGATCCTATGTTCCCTTCTGGCTTTCTTGAGTACTACACTCATTCTGCATAGATACACATGCAGTCAAAATACCCATAAACAAAATGAAAAACTTAAGAAATAAATAAGAATACTGGCAAGACATGGTAGTTGTGCCTCTGTTAGTTACATTGCTTGGGAGACTAAGACAGGAGGATTGGCAATTTTTATTTGGGTGTTTGTGTGTGTGTGTGTGTGTGTGTGTGTGTGTGTGTGTGTGTGTGTGAGACTATGTGTACTTGGGTGCAGGTGCCTTTGTAGAACAGAGGTAATGGATCCACTGGAATTAGAATTAGAGGCAGTGGTAAACCCCAACACTGGGTCCTTTGAGGAATAAGGAAGTGCTATTTGTTTTGTTGTCTTGAGACTCTAAACTACGTAGCCTTGGCTAGCCTTGAACTCACTGTGTAAACCAGGCTGGCCTCAAACTCATGGAAAGCCTCCTGTCTCTGCCTCCCAAGTGCCGGCAGTAAGAGTGTACACCAGCAAGACTAACAGACCCCATTTCTTTTAAAGCACAAAGCTCAGCAATAGAATTCAAGCTTAACACGGTCAAGGTTAGGACTGGGGGTGGGGGGTGGGTGGAAACTAATCTAAAAAAACTGAACTCAGAAGCAAACACAGGATGGTATAATAATAATTGGGGGGGGCTAGGGTAGGAGGGCCTGGAACTTCAGGTGAATGTAATAAACTCTACTAGTATGTCACATGCTAAATAGCTAATAGCAGTGTACTGTGTTGTTAGCATACAAAGAAGTGGGTTTCAAGGACTGCTGTGATGTCTAACAAGAGAGCTTGCTACTGATGAGTTCAAACCCTGGAACTTACAAGGTGTAAGGAGAGCCCTGGCTCCCATACATTGCCTTCTTACAGCAAGAGTTAACAGGTGTGCTGTGGTGCTTCTCCATACCCCCAAATTTATCTTTTTTTAATCTAAAAGATTTCAAGCTAGCAGGTGGTAGCGCATGCCTTTAATCCCAGCACTTGGGAGGCCGAAGCAGATGAATCTCTGTGAGTTTGAGGCCAGCCTGGTATACAGAGCAAGTTCTAGAACAGCCAAGGCTACACAGAGAAACATTACCTCCAAAAACCAAAAAAAAAAAAAAAAAAAAAAATTCATCTTTTGATGGCCATCTAATCTAGTTCTTAGCTCCTGTGAATAGTGCAGCAATGAGCATAAATCCATTTCTGTGGTACAGTATATGGATTTCTAGGTAATCTCACTATAAAAAATAAGCATATAAAAATATGCTTTTGGCCGGGTGGTGGTGGCGCACGCCTTTAATCCCAGCACTTGGGAGGCAGAGGCAGGCAGATCTCTGTGAGTTCGAGGCTGGGCTGGACTGACAGCCTCCAAAACAATACAGATAAACCCTGTCTCGTAAAACCAATATATATATATATATATATATATATATATATATATATATTGCTTTTGAGTCATTCTATAATGTATGAATATTTCAAAGCATTATGTTATATGCAGCAATTATGTATAAATTTAACTTGTCAGTTAAAATGTTTAAATAGATTTTTATCCTGATGCTGGATCTGGCTCCCAAAGGTTTTAAACCAGCCTGGCTTCCTGCAGCCTGCACCTTTCAGTTAACCCAGCTCTTAGATTTCTGACTTCCTCATAGTTGGGAAACAGATGGTGTGTTTTCCCCTCTAGGGGCAAAAGCCACCTTTGAATCTCCAGAGAGTTAGCCTGATTGATTACCTCCCCAACCCCTTCCACAAGTGGTGCAAGAATCTCTGGAAGCTTTAACCAGACTATTCTGCTCTCAGGACAGTTTTGTGCATTCAT